TTTTTTTTTTTTTTTTTGAGACAGAGTCTCACTCTGTTGCCCAGGCTGGAGTGCAATGGTGTGATCTCGGCTCACTGCAACCTCTGCCTCCCCAGTTCAAGCGATTCTCCTGCCTCAGCCTCCGAGTAGCTGGGATGACAGGCACCTGCCACCACACCCCTGCCAATTTTTGTATTTTTAGTAGAGGCAGTGTTTCACTATGTTGCTCAGGCTGGTCTCAAACTCCTGACCTCACGTGATCTGCCTGCCTCGGCCTTCCAAAGTGCAGGGATTGCAGGTGTGAGCCACCATGACTGGCCTAGAGTGTTGCTGATGTCAAAGTGTCCTCAGAGCTGAAATAAAGAAGGAATCACACTAATCTAGGTGGGCAGCTGAATCCTAGATGAGTCAAGATGGGGAAGGGGAATTCCTCATGGTAGAAACCTCCAAAATCGAAAACACCAAGGCGGGGAAAGTCTGTGTTGAGCTGCATGTGCATGAGGCAGGCTGTGTGGAGCTACTGGGGAGGAGATGTGGGTGGGACAGACCGACTAGAAAGTCAAGCAGACAGCCTGAGTGTAATCCAGTGGGCAGAAGGGAGCCATCGAAGGTTAAAGAGAGGAGTGACTTGACTAGAAATGCACTGTAGAAAGATTTACCCCAGGAAGGGAGAACAGAGTGGACACCAACACAAAGAAAATTAAGGGCAAAGAGACTGTTGCTATAAAGAGGAAGGTGGGGATGTTAAGGGACAAATGGACCCTTTTCTGAAAGTGGCATGCCATTCTTCCCTAGGAAGCCACCGCCCCCAGTCAGTCTCCTGCTTTGGGTGGGGCTGCCCCATCCCCCAACTCCAGGGATGGGCCTGTGGTCCAGGCCTGGCCACCCAGAGTCCCAGTGATTGGTCTGGGGATGGGCACATGACCTCAGGGGGGCCAAAGACAGTTCAGGGACCCCCAAAATCACTGGCAAAGAGGCTTGCTCTGTCTCGCCACCAAAATGGCTCTACCTGTGGGGGTAAACCTTCCCCTCCCCACAAGAATGGAGATGAAAGATAAAGACAGAGCTAGAAGAAGGAAGAGAGCTGTTTGGAGTTTGGGCAGCCTTTGCTGCCGCTAGAAGTTCCCCTGGAGTTTCCAACCCAGAAGGCACAGATGGATTTCCTGCTTACATTCATGTGCACTGGGCATCTCTCAGTGCCCTTGCAAGGTCTCGGACCATCCAGGCGAACTGAGCTATGGAGCAAGAAGCAAGAGCAGAGGCGGCGGCGGGGCAGAGGCGGCGGCGGGGCAGGCAGTGAGGAAGGCCGGGAGCCAGGCAAGTCCAGAAGAAGCAGAGTGTGCCGGGTCCTGCTGGCAGGCAGACAGATCGGGAGGATGAGTGTGGGGGCGCTGGCCTGGCAGCACAGACACCCAGTGGCCCTCTGCAACACAGCTCTGAGGGAGGAAAGGCCAGGCCAGGGAGCTGGGGAGAGATGAGGAGGGGAGGCTGGGTGGAGAGATCCCACTCTGGGAAACCGTGGGGGAGGAAGGGGAGAAGGGACAGTAGGTAGCCTGGGGTGGGAGGGCCAGGGACGGGATGTTTCAGAGAGTATGACTGAGAGCCAGAGCGGGGAGTGTTGGGAGGAGGGCAGGGCCCTGGGAAGGCCCGTACCCCAAGTATATAAGGAAGAAATTGTGGCTGTTTTGGCCTTCCAAGTCTGCTGCCCATCTCTGTGACGTTTGGAAGCAGGAAGCCCGGGCCAGAGTGGAACCCTTCTTCTCAGGCCTGTCGGGACACCTGGCAGGGAATCGGAGCCACAAAAGAGCCCTCACTGCACCACAAGTGGGCAAATGTCATTTGCAACCTGCAAACAATCCCACAAGAGGTGAGAATCTAAACAATTTCCTCAGAGGCCAGGAGCACAGGCCCTGAGCTAGCCTGCCTGGGTTGAAGTCCTGGCTCTGCCACTTTCTAGCTGGGTAAACTCGGGAAGTCTATGAATTTCTCTGGGCCTCAGTTTCCTCATCGTAAAACGGCAACAACCTCAGTGGCTGCCACACTGGGCTGTTCTGAGGCATACGCCAGATAAGGATGTCAAATGGGTTGACTGGTATCCAGCCAGTGCTGGTGTTGAGAACATTGTCCTCGTGTTATGAGGACACAACAGCAGGAAGGAACAAGCTTTTCCAAGAGGAACAAGAGCAGACACAGCAACCGTAATTCCCCTATGCATTTGTCCAACAGATGGCAGGGAAAGAAAGCCGACTTCAGCTGAAGCTCCCAAGGCCCATTCATGAGGATCCACACACAGCACGCAGCAGGGAAGCATTTTTAGCTTCCTCGCCAGACGTTTGCCACTCCCCACTCCCATCCCTGGGGGGCAGGGGGTGGGTCTGAGCAGAAAACCACAAGCCTTCCGGAGGAAGGAGGTGTTCTCCCACTGCACCAAGGCCTGGGAGTACCTGCCAGGAGTCTCCTAATGGGAGGGATGCTCTCTTCCTCATCATCTTCTACTTGCTGGAGAGAACAGGAGCTTGAGACGCAGAACATGGTTTGACGGGGGAGGGGAGTAATGGGTGGACATTGGGAGGAGAGAAGCCGAATTCAGGGAGGGAAGCTGGCCGGCAAAGCACAGCCTCAGAGCCAGCAAAGTAGAAATACTGCTGAATCTCCTGGCTGTTCGCTCACCGGAGGGGAGAAAGTTAAGAGTTTGCACTTATTCCACTTGCAAAAGCATTCAGCCACAGAGGTGGAGGGACAGAGGCCTGGGTTCAAATCCTGCCCTGCCAACTCTCCACGTCCTTATAGTGCTTCATGCTGCTATTTTAGGCCAACTGTTTACAAAAGCAATGAATGAATGTCTAGAGCCAGCACTCATGGAGAAATTTTAGTTTGTGTGTGTGTGCGCGCACGCGCGTGCATACGCGCGTGCATACACGCATGTGTTCTTAGTATCACCCAGCCTCTAGCAGTCACTCCACAAATATCCTTTGAATTCAACTAAATACAAAATATAACTTGATTATGGAAGCAGTTAAGGAAAGAAACACCCACATGATCCCTGGCCCAATTTTGTACTTTTTATTTATTTCACAACAATCATGTAGCTTGTCCAGACACTGTTCTGGGCATTTTATACACACTGACTCACTGATCCTCACGACAGCACTGTGAGAACGCAGGTCAAGAAACTAAAACCCTCAGAGATAAAGAAACTCGCTCCAAACCACACAGCCAGGAAGCAGCCACTCAGGGATTCAAACCCACACCGCTGGCCGGGTGGGTGGCTCATGCCTGCAGTCCCAGCACTTTGGGAAGCCAAGGCGGGCTGATCACCTGAGGTCAGAAGTTTGAGACCAGCCTGGCCAGCAGCGTGAAGCCCTGTCTCTGCTAAAACTACAAAAATTAGCCGGGCATGGTGGTGGGCGCCTGTAGTCCCTGATACTGTGGAGGCTGAGGCAGGAGAATCACTTGAACTCAGCAGACAGAGGATGCACTGAGCTGAGAGTGTACCACTGTACTCCAGCCTGGGCAACCGAGCAAGACTCCATCTCAAAAAGAAAAAAACAAGTCTGGCTGAGGGTCCATGCCTTAACCTCTGACCTGTGCTGCCTTTGTCTGAGAAAGTTTGCTTCCAACCAAAGACCAGAGATGGGAGCTGCTTCCAACTAAAGACCTCTTTAAAGGGTCCCATAGCAACATCGCACAGCCTCTGCCACTACTGAGGGGTTGATGGTGATGCCTGCCACGTGGTCTTTCTTTTCATGGATCACACAACACACCGAAGTGCCTAAGGCACACAAATCTTAAGTATACAGTCTGCTGATTTTTTACGGGGATACACACCTGTGTAATGCCCTCCCAGATCAACATATGGGACATTCCCAGCTCCCAGCAGTCCCGGTGGTGTGCCCCTCCCCATCAGTGGCTATCTGCCCCAAAAGCTAACCTCAATTCTGACATTCACACCATAGATTAGCTTCGCCTTGTCCAGGATTTCTTATAAATGGAATCATACGGTGTGTACTCTTTTGCATCTGCCTCTACTCGTCAAATTAAAAATCGCATCAAATCAGCCACAGGCAGACAATGATAGTGGGAGAAAAGAGGGCGCGGCTGAGTTTCTTTCCCTCCCAACCAGCCCCTAGCCTGTTAGTATTTGGGCTCAAAGGGGATGGTGGGAAGAGCTGGACACTGCAGTCTGGAAACACATGAGCTGCCCTTGGAAAACCAGTGAACCACAGCGGGTAAAAGCCGCCTGGCCTGGAGAGGGCATTGTGGAAGGGCGGAGGCAGCTGGGTCACTTCGCGAATGCTTCGGATGCCCAGAGGAGAGAAGGTTTTAAGAGGCCTTAAAACGCTCCCATCGGGCTCCTCCCACGCTGTGCGCTAGGGGCACCGCACGTGGCCACCGGTTCCTCCCGGGCTGGCCTTAGCCACCGCTCCCCGGGTGCAGACAACCTCCCAAAGACCACGCATCCGCCCGACAGGCGCGCCCCCCTACCTGTGCACTGCTGGATGAAGTGCTGGTACTCCGCTCCCTGCTCGCCGGGGACGATGGTGGAGCCGTCATATTTAAAAGTCACCCTTTGGGTGGGGAGAAGAAAAAAAAAAACACACACACACATCAGCGCTGGTGGCCGCGCGGCGCGGCGCTCGCAGGGGACAATCTAACGGACGCGCTGGCCACGGAGGAGCCCGCGGGGGCCTGGCACGCCGTCCCGGAGTCCGGCGAGGAACACAGCGCGGGAGGTCCCGAACCCGTCCCGCCTGGAGGCCGGCTCGGCGCGCGAGGCCCCGCGCGAGCCCGGGGAGCGGGGCGCGGAGAGGAATGAGAAGTTCCTACCAGATGACGGCCGAGCCGTCGTCGCGCACCAGGTTGTACGCCGCCCGGCAAGCCTCTTTGTCGATCTTGGTGGCCATCGCCGCGGGGCCGCAGCGGGGACACTGCCCGGGACGGCCGAGCGCGCCCCTGGCCGGCGGCGGGGATGGGAGCGCGGCGGGGACGCGCCGAGGGCGCACGGGCGGGAGGCGGTGGCGACGGCGACGCGGCGCCTGCGAGCTCCGAGCGCGGCGGCGGCTCACACTGCGGACGGAGCGCGCGCGGGGACCCCAGGCCGCGGCCCGCCCCGCCCCCCCGCGCCCATTGGCCGTCCAGGCCGCGGCCCGCCTCGTCATTGGCAGCCGGGCTGCGGGGCGGAGCGTCTTGATTCTCCGGCGGCCAATCCCAGCCTGGGAGGCTTGCGCAACTCCGCGGTGGGGGCCGGAGTAGGGGCTTTGCCTCCTCCCTCTCCCTCCTCCCTCCCGCTCTCTTACCCCCAACATCCCTAAGCTCTCCCCCCACCACATCCTTCTGCTCCCTCCTCCTCCTTCTCACTTCCCCTCCTCCCCTCCCGACCCCTCTCTGGAAACTTCCACTTCCCCAACCCCCTTTCCCACCCCTCCTTCCTCCTTTTCCTCCTCCTTCCCCTTCCCCCGACCCCTTGCTTCCCCCACTTCCCTGATCTCTCCTCTCTCCGTCCCTTCCCTCCCCTCTTTCTCCCTTACCCCCTTATTCCTCGTCTTCTCCTCCTCCCTCTTCTTGCCTATCCCAGCCCAAAACTACTCCGTCCTCCCTATTTCCTTCTCCCCAAGCTCTCTTCTTTCCTCCTCCTTGACCCCTCCCCTGCTTCTCGCTGGCTTCCCCTCCCTCTTCTCCACTTACCCTCCTGGTATCTGCTCCCTGCCTGTCCCCTACTGCCTCCTCTTACTCCCCCTCTCCCCCTTACTCATTCTCCCCACCCCCCTCCCCTGAGGCTGTAGGGCTGCCAAGCTCCACCGGGGACCTCCACGTGGATGATGTAATGCATCAAACCCAAGGAGACAGGCTGGCCACCGTCCCTGCCCCAGCGTTTGGTTCCATGGATTGTAGGTGGGGAGGAATTGGAAAGAATAAAGTATTTTGAATAGGAGGGGGGTAGAAACTGGACTGCTTCCAAAACGCTGGTGGGCTCACTGTTTATTCTGGATTCTGGTCATTTGGATTCCCATCTTAACCTCTCCCTTTGGGCTTCTCTGAAAGCAAGAGCTGACTCATTCTGTCTTCCTCATTCCTTCACTGACTCATTCATTCATTCCCTCATCCAGACATTCCACAGAGACCAGTTACAGCGTCCAGGCAGGTAAAAAGCCAGGGTTCTGAAGACTGGGCTCTTGAATTGCATTCAGCCCGGCCACTTTCCAACTGGGGGCCGCTGGAAAGCCTTAAATCACTCTGAAATTACTTTCCTCAAATCGGAAAAATAATATAACTGACACCACTGCTTTCAGTTTAATTGAAATGATACATGTAACAAATATACTAGACATTCGATAAAATATCATCATTGTTGTTTGTTAAGTGATAAAAACATATCCTAAATGGAAACCCAAAAGGTCAGGGACAATGTCCAAATAATATGGGAATTCTCAGCAAGAAAAAAACAAAAAACAAGAAATTGAATGAACGAATGAATCAATCAATCCTTAGTTGAATAGGTGGGTGGACAGGAACACAGTTTCAGAAGAGTAGGGGCAGATGCTGTTATAAATAAGACAAAAACAAAGAAATTCTCATTTCATGCCCCACAAAGCAGTTCGTCCCTAACTCCTTAATAAGGGTAATGGGACAATGGGCCACTGGAAAGAAGAGCAAAGATGGATCCATTGATCAGGGAATATTCCAAAAGGATCAAAAATTTAAAAACAAAGGAAATCAGGCCAGGCGCAGTGGGTCATGCCCGTAATCCCAGCACTCTGGGACGCTGGGGTGGGAGAAGCTCACAAGCTCAGGAGTTCTAGACCAGCCTGGCCAACATGGTGAAAGCCCATCTCTACTAAAAATACAAAATTAGCCAGGCATAGTTGTGGGTGCCTGTAATCCCAGCTACTTGGGAGACTGAGGCAGGAGAATCACTTGAACCTGGAGGGCAGAGGTTGCAGTGAGATCACACCATTGCACTCCAGCCTGAGCGACACAGTGAGACTCCGTCTCAAAAAAAAAAAAAAAGGAAATCACAAAAGTGCCATAAGAAAATATGGAGAGTTTCCCTCTAACCATAAACCATGTTACCAAATCCAAATCCAAAAACCATTGAAAAGATGAATACATTCGAACATATAAAAAGTGATCTAGCAGGCTGGGCATGGTGGCTCACCTATAATCCCAGCACTTTGAGTGGCCAAGGTGGGTGGATCACCTGAAGCCAGGAGATCAAGACCAGCCTGGCCAACATGGTGAAACCCCATCTCCACTAAAAATACAGAATGAGCCGGGTGTGGTGGTGGGTGCCTGTAATCCCAGCTACCAGGAGGCTGAGGCAGGAGAATCACTTGAACCCAGGAGGCAGAGGTTGCAGTGAGCCAAGATTGCACCACTGCACCCCAGCCTGGGCAATAGAGTGAGACTCTGTCTCAAAAATACATAAATAAATAATAAAATAAAAAGTGATCTAGGGGAAAAAAAATACCATACCACCTCATGCAAAGTGTAAAAATAGTCAAAGCAGTGAAAAGTATTTGCAACTCAAACAGAGAATTAGTCTTGCTAACACATAGAGAAGTCAACCTTAAAAAAAGAAAATGAAAAGAAAAATAGGCACAGAATATGACCAGACAGATTAAATGATCTTAAACATGTGAAAAGATGCTCAACCTCAACTCCTAATAAGAGAAATACAAATTAAACCAAAACTGAGATATCTTTTAAAAAAATAAACTAGCAAGTTGGCAAAAATAAAAATCTTTGACAAGCCTCCTTTGCTAGGGAGGCTATGAAGAACCACACCGTCTTGTGCATTGCTGGTGAGCATATAAACTGACACAACCCCCATAAAGCCCCCATGGAGGCCAGTTGGTAACGTCTAGCAAATTTACAAGCCTGTGCACCCTTGATCAATCTATTTATCCTGTAGGGTCAGTGGTGCCCAGCTCCGGCTGGACATGGGAATCACCAGGATTGCCTGATCCCACAACCAGACATTCTGATATAATTGGTCTGAGATATGCCCTGGGTATGGAGTTTTTTGTTTGGTTGTTTGTTTTTAAAGCAAGGTCTTGCCTGCCTCAAAAAACCCTGTCACCCAGGCTGGAGTGCAGTGACGCAATCTCAGTGCACTGCAGCCTTGACCTCCCAGGCTCAAGCAATCCTCGCACCTCAGCCACTTGAGTAGATGAGACTACAGGCACATGCCACCATGCCTGGCTAATTTTCGTATTTTTTGTAGAGACAGCACAGGCTGCTCTGGAACTCCTGAGCTTAAGTGATCCGCCTGCCTCAGCCTCCCAGCGTGCAGGCGTGCACCAGCGCGCCCAGCCACACGGGGATTTCTGTAAATCCTCCTGGGTGATGCCCTTACGTTCAGTTGGGGCTGAAAGTCACTGCTATAGATACACTTGTATGTGTGCAAAATGTATCCAGGCTTATTCATCGAGCTTTATTTATTTCTTTTTTTTTTTTTTTTTTTTTTTTTTG